GATTCCTCCTAACCAAGAGCAAGGGATATCCTTCTATTTTCTAATATCCTCTTCAATCTCCTTTTTAAGAGTAGTATAATCTTCAGCATATAGATCTTTTACAAAAAAGATCATCTCACTAGACACAGAAAAAGATTTTGATAAATCCCAACACCTATTCATGATAAAAACCCTACAGAAACTTGGAATAGGCGGTATGTGCCTCAATCTCATAAAGGTCATCTATGACAAACCAACAGCCAACATTATACTAAATGGACAAAAACTAAAAGCCTTAATTCTAAAATCAGGAACAAGACAATAATGACAACTATCACCACTCCGATTTGATATAGTTCTAGAAATATTAGCCAAAGCAATCAGACAAAAGGGAGAAATAAAAGGAATAAAAATAGGAAAAAAGAGGTTAAATTATTATTATTTGCAGATGACGTGATACTCTACGTACAAGACCCCAAAAACTCCATTAAAAGACTAGTAGAGGTAATAAACAAATTCATCAGTGTAGCTGGATACAAAGTCAACACTAAAAAATCAATAACATTCCTTTATGCAAACAAAAACTCATTAAGAGAGAAATTATGGAAATATCACTTTTCACAATAGCATCTAATAAAATCAGATACTGAGAATCCACCTAACCAGGAATGTAAAATGTTCTTTGTCATGGAAGTATCTTGTTTCTCCATTAAATTTGAAAGACAGTCTTTCTGGGTACATCAGTCTGGGTTGAAAGCTGTTTTCTTTTAGGACTTGGAATACTTTACTCCAAGCTCATCTTAACCTGAAGGTTTGTGCTGAGAAGTCTTCCATGATTCCAATAGGCTTTCCTTGATGAGTGAGTTGTGTCTTTTCTCTAATAGCATCTAGTATTCTGTTTTTATGCTGTCTGGGAACTTAATTATTATATGTCTGGGTGTAGCTTTATGTTGGTTATGACTGTTTGGCATTCTATGTGCCTCACTTATTTGTATGTCAGATTTCCCCCCCATGTTTGGGAAATTCTCCACTATTACTTCTGTGAACAGCTTAGTTCTGTCCCTTGCATTGTCTCCTGCATCCTCACTGATGCCTATTAGTATTACATTGTTTCTCTTGGCATCATCTTGAAGCTGCTGGATTGTCATTTCATGCTGCTTTGTTGTTTTCATAAATTCTATCTTCTCATGGTTGCTATTTGCAATCCTGTCCTCAAGGTCTGAAATTCTATCTTCAGCTTCATTTAAGTGGTTTTGCCAGCTTTCAATAGAATTTTTTGTTTCTTGGATATCTTTTTTGAATTTGTTTCATTGATTCTGCTTGCTTTCTACATTGTTCATTCAAAGTTTCAATCAATTTCCCATGGTCCTGTATTTTTTAAAATCTATTTCTTCCCTAGCTATGTTGAGCAAATCCTTTACTAAGGTTGTTATTTCTGTCTTGATGTAAGACATTACTTTTAATTTGGTTTCCTCTAGAGGCTAATGGATTTGTTTCTTTACTTTTGTTTGCTATCTTTCCAGAGATTTCTGGTGTATGGCTTTCAAAGTCCTCCATTTTGCTGTCACCTGTTCTTGCACCTGATGGACTAGATACTTGAGATTGCATTTTGGTTTTTCATTTTGTCATTTTCACCTTCTGGGACATTATCTGGTTATTTAATCCCAATAGTTAGTTAATCCCAACTGTCAACAGGGTATGTCCCAGGGTCCTACTGTGTGGTTGATGTCTGCCCGATTGCTGTGTACATAATACCTGGAACCTACTAGGGTCCTCTGTCTGGGCGAGGGGAACCAAGTCTCCCATCAAACCAGCACTGCCAGTCCACCACAGTTCAAAGTCCTGGGAGGAAGAGTAGGAGCCAAACATTCATAGAAATGCTTGGTCTAAGAGATGGGGAGGGTAGCTGAGGGCAGTGTGTTGAGTCAGAGTGGGTGCAGTGCTAATAAGAAGCACACAAGAGGAGCATGCTGGGTCACAGGCATGACTCAGCAGCCTGAGCCAGGAAGGAGCATGGTGGCCATCCTCTGTGTGGTGGCAGTGGGAGGGTGCTGATGTGGACAAGTCTGGCTCAGCCTCCTCAGCTGGGGTGGAACTTAGTGTTCTTGCACCACCCACGGTGTGGTGGCCAACAGTGGCTGGGGGTGCTGAGGCATTCAGGCATGCCCAGTGGCCCGAGTTGGGTCAGAGCTTGGCAGCTTCCTCCGTGTGGTGCTTTCCTCCTGGCTGTGGCAGTGGTGTGCGAGCACCAAGGTACACAGGCACACCCAGGGACCTTTTTCTTATATTTTTGTAGACCTTTTGCTCATTCTCTTGACAGTGTTCATTAATGCAAAACAATTCTAATTTTGATGAATTCCAACTCATTCTTTGTTTGTTATTGTTGTTGTTGCTTGAGCTTTAGGAATCATATTTAAAGAATAATGGCCGTACCAAGTCTGTGAAGATTTACCTCTATGTTTTTTTCTAAGAATTTGTTTTATCCCCCATATTTAGATCTTTAGTCCATTTTGAATTGATTTGAATATATGGTGAGAGGCAAATTTACAACTTTATTCTTTTGCATGCAGAAAGGTTCCATTTATTAAAAGACTATTCTTTTTTTAATTGAATTTTCTTGGTATCCTTCTCAAAACAATTGACCATAGATGTATGGTTTTATTTCCATGTTTTTGATTATAGATAATACTTATTTTATTCCATTGATCTGTATGTTTATGGTGATATCCCCATTTTGTTGCAAATTTTGTAATAGAAAAGAATGAATTCCCACTCCATTCTTTTTTTTCTCGGGTTTGTCTTAGCTGTTTGGGGGTTCCTAAATACATGTAAATGTTAGGTCAGCTATTCTATTTTTTTGCATAAAAGGCTGTTTGGAATTTGTTAGAGATTACAGTAACTATAAATTACTTTACATGAAATTTTCATTTAGATGATATTAAGACTTCCAATTCACAAGTGTGAGACTTATTTCCATTTATTTAGGATTTCTTTTAGTTCTTTCAGAAATGTTTTGTATAGTTTTTAGTGTATAAGCCTTGCTTCTCTTTGGTTGATTTTATTAGTAAGTATTCTATTATTTTTCATGACAATATAAATTGTTCTTTAATTTTCATTTTATTCATTGAGTTCACAAAAATATTTATTTTTATTTTTAAGAGTAAAAAGTTTTTATTAGTTCCTATTAATCTGAAAAAATATTGAATTTCAATGTGGAATTTCAGGCTTGTAAATATATTTGGATCATATATATTCCCTCAACTGACCCGTACTTAGGTCCCCTTCCTTGTATTTCTCTTCTCTCATAATAATCTCTCTTTTATTTTCTTGACTTTTTTTTATTCTACATATTAGAGATAAATAGTTGTCCTTTTGAATCTGGATTTTTCATTTAATAAGTTTTGTTTATTTGATTCCATCCATTTTCCCTGCAAATATCTGTCTATATATCACTATCTATATACATGTCTATCATGGTAACTTGGTTCATGAACTTATTGTAATTTTTTCCACATTTTTGGTCACAAGCTGAATTGGATGAGGAATGAATCAAATTCAGTGTTTAGGCTCACTTTTGAGCTTATAGAGTAACTTGATTCAATTCTTGTCCAATTTGGTTTGCAACCAGAATCATGGAAAGAATTAAGTTTGTGAACTGAGGTACCTCTGTACATATCATGTTATCTGCATATGAAGATATTTTTACTCCTTCTCCTCAGTTTAGTTGCATTTATTTGTCTTGCCTAATTTCTCTGGATAGTACTATATCAATGTTGGATAGAAGCAGGAAAAGCTGGTATTCCTGATCTTAGGGAGAAAGCTTAAAGTGTTTCAAAATTGATTATGATGTTAGCTGTGGGTTTTTTATACATGTCTTTTTAATTGGTTGAGAAAGTTCTTTTGTCTTCCTGCTTTGTATTATGAAGGCATGTTGGATCATGTCAAATGCCTTTTATGCATTAATTGAGATGATTGTATGGTTTTTCTCTCTTAATTCTATGTGGCATATTACATTAATTGATACCCATATGTTGAACCACCCTTGCATTCTAGGAATAAATCTCACTTGGTCATGGTGCATCATCATTTCAATATGTTGTTGGATTTTGTTTGCTAGTATTTTGTGGAGGGTATTTTCAACTATGTTTGTAAGGCATAGTACCCTAAAGTTTTATATTTTTGCTTTATTTTTATTTGACTTTGGTATCAAATTAATGGTGACCTCATAGAATATGTAAGAAAATGTTCCCTCTTGTTCAAGTATCTGGAAGAGTTTGAAAAGGATTAATAGTAATTCCTTAAATGTTTGCTAGAATTTACCAGGGAATCTGTTTTTTGGTGGGAGGTTTAAATTATTGATTTAATTTCTTTATTTGTTATAGATTTATTGAGATTTCTATTTTTTTGAGTCAGTTTAGATAATTTGTATGCTTTCAGGGATCTGTCCATTTCATTCAAGTCTATTAGGTATAGAATTATTCATTTTATCCCCTTTTTATTCATTTTTTCCCTGTAAGGTCAATAAAAGTGTTACTATTTACATTTATGATTTAGTTATTTGTATATTCTGTATTTTAAAAGCATTTTTCAGTGTAACTAAAGATTTGTCAATTTTGTTGATTCTTTCAAAGAACTGGTTTTTGGTTTTATTGTTTTTGTATTCTCTGTTTTATATATCTTGTTCTGTTTTAAAATTATTGTTATTTGCTCTTCTTTTTCTACTTTCTTTTCTCTCTCTCTCTCTCTCTCTCTCTCTCTCTCTCTCTCTCTCTCCCTCATACCAGGGATCAAACTCTTGACCTCATGCTTACCAAGTGGGTGGTTGTACTATATCCTCAGCTTTTTCTAGTTTTTAAACTAGCAGGTTATTATTAATTTGAAACTTTATCCTTTTTTAATATTGGTATATACAATATACATAAATTGAGACAACTTGTGCTATATGCTATAAATTTTGGAAGACTTGTTTTCATTTTCATGTCAAAAAGTAGTGTCTAGTCTTCCTTATGACATTTTTCTTAGGCCCATTTGTTTTAAAGTGTTTTTTTGTTATTCTTCTTAATTTTTAAAAATTTCCAGTTTTGCTTCATTAATGATTCTTAGCTGAAGCTAAGTTGTGATCAGAGAAGATACTTTTTATGATTTCCTGAGATGCATTTTTTTTGGCTGAACATCTGGTGTACCCTTGGGAATGCTGCACATGAACTTCAGAAGAAGGCATATCCTGCTGTTGCTCAGTGGAGGTGAGTGTATATGTCCATTAGATCTTGTTATACTATTGTTCAAATCCCTTACTTTTTTACTGATATTCTTTCTAGTCATTTTAGCTATTATTAAAAGTTGTGCATTGATGTTTGCAATCATTATTTCTCCTTGAATTCTGTTATTTTTTATTTCCTGTTTTTTAGGTTTGGTTCAGCTTTCGATGATATAAACAGCTCTCTGCAGCATGCAATGCATAGTTTCCCCACAACTAGAGATGTTTTGGATTGTTATGGCATTGTGATGGTTTGACTATTTATCAGTCTAAGGTCCTTCCTCGACTCTTGTAATAGTTTTTGATTTAAAATGTATTTTGCCTGGTGTTAGTTTATCTGTCCAACTCTGTTTTTGATACTATTTGCATGGAGAATCTTTTCCAATCTTCTACTTTTAGCCTATTTTTGTGTTTGTATCTAATCTGAGATTTTTATAGACAACATATAGTTTGGTCATATTTTCTTTTTTTAGCTTTATTTTTATTAGCACATATTTGCATTTCATAGTGATTGCATTCCTTGTGGGCAGTTGATATGTACACATAACACATAGTAATTATTTTTTATTCCCTTTCTTTCCACCTCCATTTCTGTTTCCCTTCCCATTTAAGCAAAATCTTTCACTTCCTATCATCTATCTTTTATTTTGCTCTTTATTTCTGTTTCTGGTTTTTCATATATGAATTTATTGTTGCTCATTGTGATTGAGTGATTTGTCAGAAATAGTTTTTTGTAAGCATTGTGTTCTTTGTCCTGTGGTCACTGAGATCTCAACTCTGTTAGATTAGTAATTGTGTAGTGATTTCAATGTGCTTTCCTTAATTCTTGAAATCAACACCAAAACCTGCAACAAACAAAAAAGCCCTACACAGACAACGAAAACCTTAACTCAAAACCTAAAGCTCACATACTTCTCACTCCCAAATCTCTCCCTGATTTTTGAGAATGGCTCTGTATTGTTGGATTATTTCAATACTGGGCCATTCCACTTACAATTCTGCTGTGGTAAGCACTTTCTCTTTTAGGGATCTAATTATCAGTGAGAAATAAAGTTGTAGAGCTTTATTAGCGCTTTCTGTATTTACATGCAGCTCTAGGTATGCGTGTAGCCTTTTCAATGCCCCAGTATACAGTGAATAAGATTTTCAAAGCACATTTTCTCCTGTCTGGACTGGCACAATTTCTTCCTTTTCAGGTGTTTGGTTTGCCTGCCCTTGCCCAAGGTGATTTCAACTAGTAAACTGACAGTTGCTGTCCTGAGAAAGTTTGGAGGTAAGTACACAAAAGGCAAGCTGCTGAGCTGTGTATTCTTGGAGCTAAAGATACATCAATATACACCAAGTTTGTATTTCCCTCTCTGGGACCAATAAGTCACATCGTGAATGTGGGCTGGTGTCTGCGTAGCCACTGCTGAACTGGTGATTGTGTGATAGGTAGTTTAACTGCCACAGTGCTATCTTACTGAAATTAAGCGGCTGATTTCTTTAGCAAGTGTTTGCCTCCCTATTTTAAGTTTTTAATTAAGTTTCAGAGTTGCAAGACAGTGATTCTGGTAATTTTTGCCAGCTTAATTGGTGCTTTTGTGAAGGAATGCGATTTTTGAATTCTCCAATTTGCTATTTTCAGTAGTGTTTCTCCTCCTGTGTCTGATTTTGATGTCATGGTGATTTTGGCTTCAAACAACTTGGGAAACTATTTTTTTTTTTTTAACATTTGTAGTCTGACATCATCAGATATAGAATCTTTAGCAGATTTTTTTTTTTTTTTGTATTTTTACAGGTCCCAGGGATCGAACTCACGACCACAGGCCTGCAAGGGAGGTGCTTCTGCTGCTGAGCTAAATCCCCAGCCCCTTTAACAGAAATTTTTAAAAGTGATTTTATTTAGTAAAGGCCAATCCCATTTTCTATTTCATTTTGTGAATATTTTGGACACATTTTGCCTTTAAATAAAGTTTTAAAATTTCATGTATGTGGTCAAATTTATTCTTTTATTATTCTTTTAATGATTGTAAGATTTGTAATGATGTTTTCTTTTTTTTCCTGATACTTATATTTCCCATTTCCTTTCTTCTCAATCATTAGTGCTAGAGCTTATCAGTTTTATTTTTAACTTTCAAAGAATCACCTCCTGGTTTTATTAATGTTCTCTATTATCTATTTTCCTATTTCATTGACTTCTGCTTTAATTTTCATTGTTTTTCTATTTTCTTTGAACTTAATTTGTACTTACCTTTCCAGCTTGTTAAGGTTGAAATTTAGTGTACAGATTTTTAATTTTTTCATGTTTTCAAATATAAACATTTAGAGCTATAATTGTATCTCTAAGCCCTGCTTTAGCTACACTCTTCAAATTTGGAAGATTTGTAGCCTTAATGTCATTTTATTTGAAATACTTTGTATCCTTTGTGATAGCTCTTTTGATCCATGAGATATTCAGAGTGTGCTGCACGATTTCTAAATATTTTGGGATTTTCTAGATATCCTATAGTTATTGACTGTTAAGTTAATGTTTTTATTGTCAGAGTTTATATTCTATAAAATTTCAGTATTTTCAAGTTCATTTGACTTATTTTTTGGCTAAACATAATGGTCTACTTTAGTGATTGTTTCATGTACTTAAAAAAAGGATGTATATTCTGTTCCTATTGAGTATAACATTTATATAAATTTCTATTAAATCTAGATGTTTTATATTATTTTTATATATCCTTACTGATTGCTATCTAGTATTCTTTATTAACTATTGTAATAAGTTTGAAAAATTATTATTATTGTAGATTTATCTAGTTTTCCTTTAGCTGTACCAGTTTTTGTTTCATATTTTGAAAAATTTGTTGTTAAATTTATAGTTAGTTATGATTCTATGTCTTCCTGATGAACTTCTGTTTTGTAATTATGAAATGTACCTACTTAAAAATACTATTTGTCATAGAGTCTCAGTTTTTGATAATTATAGCTCTCTGGTAATATAACTTTCTCATCTTTACTCTCTGCATTCTGTATCTTCCTTCCCTCTTCTTTGACTAACTTAATATTTAAAGTGCATCTTTTATAGGAAAATTTAGTCTTGCTTGTTGGATTCATAATGACAATACCTGCCACTTGATTTGATGGTTTAGAGCATTTACATTTAATGTAATTATTGATATGGCTAGACTAAAACCTATTCTTTTATATTTATTTTCTATTTACCTAGTTTTTAAATAGTAGCAAAGTTTTTTTAAAGGTGTAAAAAGAAACAGGCTCTGTAGAGTGAGTTTGGGGCCACACAAAAGTAGGAAAAGAAGTGTACCCCACAGAGTGAGGGAGAATATCCTTTTTCCTTTCTGTTTTCCCCTCATGCTTTATTTTGGGCATTTACTTTGTATTGTATTTCATTTCTTCTGTTCTCCTTTTTCGATATAGCTCTTTTTAATTTTCAGCTTGCCTGTTTCTCTCATTTTCTGTTTCCTGACCATCACGTGGTGAACACGTTTCCTCATCTGTGCTATTTTGCCGTGTATGAACCTTTCCTTCTCTAAGTTGCAAGTGTCAACTATTTTGCACCATTGACAGTAAAGTGACTAACACAGCTATTTGTACCAGAGTGGGGTCATTGCTGTGACTATACTTGACCACGTGATTCAGGAGTCATGAAAACCGGCTTGGGGGAGGAGTTTGAAATAATTTGTAGATGCCACCCGGAGAAGCCTTAGAATGCTGTAAGCAGCGTAAGTGGAGACTGATGGGAGATTTTCTTCAAAGCTCACAATACCAGCGTGCTGATAGGAATGAGGTTTCAGTTGGGAACAAGGACTGCCAATAGCAGTTGGGTTAGAAGCTACGTGTGTTATATTTTGACAGAAAAATTGTCTGCATTTTATCTATATTCTGAGATTTTATGGGAGAATGAGATTAAGGAAGATGGATCAGTTAATCTGGCAGAAAAAAAATCTAAGACAGACAAACACTCAGAGTGTGACATGGACATCGTTGGCTGCTTCTAGCCAGATCCATAATGAGAATCAGGAGCAAATGGCAGAGGTAAATGCTTTGAACTGTTTTCTTTCTTCCAGAAAGGAAGAGCCTTCAAAATTGAACCAAAGGAAAGATGGTTGCTGAAACATTTATCATTAAAGAGAAACTAAGTGCTGTGCACAGGAATAAGAAGATGTCTCGATCACATCTCAAAAATCAGTGAAACGTTCCCCATCAAAGGCTCAAGGGGGTAAAACTGTGAATCTTTCACTTGAGTAAAGAGTCTGTGGGATGCCTGCTCACTCAGAGCTGCCTGGGCAGAGTGTATAGTGTGTGTATGAGAGAGAGACAGAGGGAGGTCATGTGAACTGCACCCAGCAAGGCCAGAGGCTTGGGGTTGCCTCAGCTGTTAGAATTTCCCATCTTACCACCTGCACTGGGTGCTACATGTGCAGCTACAGGATTTAATCTTTGTCTTACTGGGTTTTTATTTTGTCTGATTTCTTTCTATCCCCTCATTCCTCCCATTTCGAATGAGAATCTTTATGCTGTCTCATTGTATGTTGGAAAGGTTTAATTTTCTTTTTTAATTTTTACAGTGTCTCACAGTTAAGAATTTGCCTTGAGTCTCAGAGGAGACTTTGGACTTGACATTTTCAGCAGTTCTGGAACAAAGCCTTCAATGACTTTTAGAGATAGACTGAATACATTTTGCATAATGAGATAGACATGAACCTTTTGAGGATCAAGGGTAAACTGCAATGGTTTAAACCTAAAATTCCCTCAAAATTCTTCTCAAAAAAGGTTCAGAGACAGAGCCTGGCTGGAAAGGGAAAGTCAGTATGGGATTGGCTTGGATGAGTATGTTCTTGCTCCTCTCTTCTCTTTCTTCTTCCTGGCTGTCGTGCAGTGAACAACTTACTCCTGCCATGCTGTTCTGACATGTCATGGCTGTCTTGAAGTCAATCAACTTTGGGCTGAATCCACTTAAACTGTGAGCCAAAACAAACCTCTCCTTCTTTAACTTGTAAGGTGTGGGAATTTAGTATTTTGCTCCAATGTCCCCAGGAAAGTGACGAATATAATTGCTCATATCATTCTGGTTGGTAAATATCTATTAATTTCTTAAGTGGTTTTTTTTTCCTTCTGCCCTTCAGATTGTATACTTTTTACTGATCTACCCTCAAGAACACCGGCTTTGTTTTGAACATCTTATCTGCTGCTAAGGCCATCTAGCCTTCATTTCTGATATAATACTCAGTTCTGTAAATTCCATTTTGGTCTTCTGTAGCCTGAGAAAGGTTTCTCATATTTTCACTTACCATGTCCATGTTTACCTTTAAATTATTTAACGTATTTGTTATAGCTGTTTTAAAGTCCTTGGGCATTAATTCCTACTTCTAAACATCTCAATGTTTTCTGCTTTTTTACTTGATTTTGGGTCACAGTTGCTTACTTTTTTTGCATGGTAGTAATTTTTGACGTGTAGTCTAGATTTTGCTTTTGTTCTTAAGTGATGTTGCCGTCTTGTTCTTGCTGGCAGGTGGATTACTAGTGGGTTATCTTAATTCCAAATTTTTATTACGGTATGTTTAGGTTTGTACTTAGTGTCAAGACAGGACCTTACTTTAGGTTGTGGTGCTTACTTTTCATGTGTAAACTTTCTGGTTCCTCAGTTCAGTGTCTAGCGTGCTCAGTGATGGACTCTTCCCTCTGGCTGAACTAGGACTACCTACAAGTGTATGTCACTTTCTCGTTATCTGCCATCAGATGCAGCTGTCAACTAGCTTTCCAGAGCTGCTGGAGTGTGCAAGGGAAGAACTCAGAAAATGGGTAAGACTTTCCAATGTGTCTGTTGCCACTGCCCAGCTATGCTATCAGAACTACTTATTTAAATGCTCCTTGGGTGTTCCATCATGTGCAAATTGAAAGAATAGCCATATCAAACTAATGGGGTTAGACTAAGAAAGATAAATGAATTTGTGCTTTAATCAGTGCCAAACATGTTATAGGTGCTACGAATTATCTACTATTTTCCTTCTGGCCCTGCATAGCTGGTCTGTGGCTCCTGAAAACAATGGCAGAAGGGGTCATGATAAAAAAAAGTTTATTCTGAGTCCCTAGCTGTAAAAGACAATCTCTGGGAATTCGTAGACTAAGAAAATAGTTGAGTCTATTTGTGTTGCTGTAATAAAACACCAGAGGCTGGATAATTTATAAAGAGTAGAAATGTGTTTCTCACAGTTCTGGAGGCTAGAAGTTTCGTGTCAGGTTGCTGGAAAGTATCATTTCCTGAGGACCTGGACTGTGCTTCTAAGAGGAAGCCTTGAACACTGCTTCCATCAGAGGGGAAGAACACTGTTTTCACATGACAGAAGAAAAAATGGCAAAGAAGGGAACAAATTCCCCCATCAAGTCCTTTTGTAATAGCATTATTTAAAGCTAAACATAATTTAAAGGTACTCCTCCTCATACTATTGCACTGGGGATTAAGTTTCAACATGAAGTTTTGGGGAAGCCAGAAACATTCAAATCTGTAGAAGGAAATCACATTCTAGCGGAATCCTGTGGCACAGAAAGGTTCTCCAGGAAACCAGCAGGCAATTACCTTTTGGAGAGAACATCACACTTTGCAAAGCCACCCTGGTTGCCAAAAACTTTGTGAACCCCTCCCTGATTACTTCAGCCTTAGGGAGACTTGGAGGAATGAGGGTGGTGAAGTGAGGAGCACGTGGCAGCCCTGTGGGCCCAAGGCATTGAACCTTTTGGGGGTGCTACTGATATCTAGCACAATCTTGACTGCCTAAACCTCCTTCTTTCTAAACCCTGGAGTTTTAAAATCCATGAAAGGTTGTGTTGCAAATAAATGAGCTAGCAAAGTCAGGGTCTGTTCACTACTCACTCCTTCCTGATGGGATTACACAGGCAATTTTGTATGGATCCCATCCTGATCATCTCCTTTTTGCTGATGCTATAATGTGAAGCCATATGCACAGTCCTTTGCTGGTATGTCCTGCCCCTATTTCCTGAGGGCCTGGTTAGCTTGTCCTCATGGGTTGCTGGTCCATGTGAGAATGTTGTCTTTCTTGAAGCTAAAGTCAGACAAAACATACTCCTTTAAACTATCTAAAAGCATCCTCCATCTCCTAGACTTAATTTATTGGAGGTGTATGTAGTTCTGTTTGGCTTGGTGTGTGCTTAGTGGACCACTAGTTCCACA